AAAACTGTTCAATTTGGGTTCAAGTAGAACATGAGGTTGACGGAAACTCGGGGACTGCGCCTACCCGATGAGTCCCAAGAGGGGCGAAAACGGTCGTGGGCTGTCGAAGAGTTTCCAGCAACCTTGTGAGTAGTTTTCTTTATGATGAAAACGCATTAGTTGTTTGCTGTGAAAGTCGACAGCGAACTTGACTAAAACTCTGGTCACGGAAAGGACGAAATTGCGTCTCTGTTTGTCAATTTTGGTGTAGGAAACAACAAGTCAGTAGATAGTTATGAAGTCGGCTCTACTGCAAACACTTATATAGCTGCTTTACCATGATAGTGTCAGGAATTTGGCGAGTTCAGACCAAATAATCATGCGCCACGGTGTGGGGAAAAGTAAATACCATTCTGGAAGTGCACCTTCAGTGACCGATTTGGGAATCTGTTCCGGAGTGAAGATTGGGGGCACCTAGTTTATTGTTAGTGTACAGGAGGGGCTTCCAGTCACACTGACCAACCGACACTAAATATATGCTTCATTACAAGCCTCGTGTAAACATTAGTATTGAGCAGACTCAGCCTGAACGTCCCTTTGCTGGATGACACACCTTTCGACAACGATGGAATTTCCCCATGGCTCAGTCGCATCCGTCTGCATTGTTGGCATACTTAACAAGAGTAAAAGTAACCACACTGAAAGAGTTGACATTCATTAAACCCGTTTCTGAAAAACTAGGCTATGTTTTCGAGAAATACACTCATTTCCAAATCAATTTGGTTTTCACGAGATACCAAACTGAATCTCTTGTTTATGATATTCTATATTTTCCATATTTTCTACACCGTCTACTTCACTTATCCCATTTTTCAACAAACCCATATGCATTAGTTATTTGTGTTTAAATAGGAAAAAAAAATTATCTTGGGGTCGAAATATAAACCAGGGACACGAACATTTTTTGGCACGGCTTGAAAATGTCAGCTCGATTACCGCTAAATTAACCTAATTGAAGGAGTGTTTCTTTCAAGCACAGCATGCTCCTTTATACTCTGTCCTTGATGTTTAGATTTAAATTAAATTCTAACCTGGCGAGGATAAGGTGAGAATCCAACGGTACTCTCTGTACTAACTCTTGCTGGTCTCTGGCTGCCATCTATTTACCCAAAGACGCACTGGGGTGCCTGGTCTTATCGGTTTCTTTGGCCGGGGTTGGACGTTTGCTGTTCTGTGATTGTATCACCGCCTTTCGTAAGCACATAGTAGGATCTTGGTAGTGTGAGGAGATTTGGGATTTTTGTGGGATTTCGTCCTGTAAGTGAAGCCAATCTATGCTGAAAAGCCGAGAAGCACTGTACAGCTGTTTCATTCTTATTGGGAGTCAGCAGCAGTGCGCATCTCACGAAACTCCGAAGAGTCTCGAACCCGCGACCTCCCGGTTAGTAGTTTGAACACTTAACCGTTCGGCCACGAGTGGCCAAACGGTACCTAGACCTATCGGATAAACGCACCTCTACAAGTCTAACTGTTTTTTCACTCTCCCTATTACCTTAAGTGTAAATCTAGGCACCTCTGAACCAAGTAAACTCAACCGGTCTCATCGCATCCACCTTTTTTCCGGGGAGTTCGATGTTTGTCCCTGTTGATACTTTCCAATTAGGTTTTATTCAGCACTACTTACAAAGTCAACAGAAACTCACAACAGACTACTAGCAATTTTCCCCTAATTTGCTAACAAGAATTTTGCTCCAGCTAAAACATATGTCGACATTTGTGTAGTATATTCATTTGGAGTGTATAACAAACGTGTTAAATTTCCTTCCTGAACATCAGATTAACTCGTAAGCGCATATTTATCGCTAGATCTGTATATAATGGTGTTCAAGTAGAAAATGGGATTCCCTGAAACCCCTTGTCTGAGCATTGGATGCTCAGACTTCCACCAAATCTATAAGTAATATTGGAGAACAAGTATCAGTCCCCCTCGGCTGTATCCGTCATTTTGTTGACATATACATTCCACGCCAAAGACACACTTTTCATCGGTTTTCTTTTCCTGGAATTGATTGAGGAAGGCTATCTTACTGTGGTCAGAGCCCTCGGATAATTTGAATGTATAACAAACGTTTTAAATTTCCTTCCTGAACATCAGATTAACTCGTAAGCGCATATTTATCGCTAGATCTGTATATAATGGTGTTCAAGTAGAAAATGGGATTCATTGAAACCCCTTGTCTAAGCATTGGATGCTCAGACTTCCACCAAATCTATAAGTAATATTGGAGAACAAGTATCAGTCCCCCTCGGCTGTATCCGTCATTTTGTTGACATATACATTCCACGCCAAAGACACACTTTTCATCGGTTTTCTTTTCCTGGAATTGATTGAGGAAGGCTATCTTACTGTGGTCAGAGCCCTCGGAAACGTCTATGGATGCGGTATAGCTTCGAGGGCGAACCAAGCTTATCATGTAATCAGCAAGCAATTGGACGCATGTTCAAACTTTGCACGGAGAATCCTGAGTAATTCCAACACCCTTTTATTGTGGTACACTGCTGTAAAAGTACACTACCCATATCTTGGTATGAACTTTCGCGGACGATAACTGCCAATCTTTACAACAGCATAATCCAATATATTGTCCGAGAGTTAGTTTCAATTAGTGTCTGACTTATCTCCGCAGTTTCTTTCCTCCGCTACTGACACCAAGTCTTTGCATCAAATCTTCTGTTAATGTAAAAAATGGGGTGTGTGTAGTTGACCCCTTCTTGACCTGACCTAATAGGGAGAACCAAACGTTCCGGAACGTCTGGTGTCTTTCCACTCGGTAGTGTTTTAGTTAGACCATCGTTGTAAATTCCCTCAGCATTCAACGCATGCGAATAGAAGTCTGAGGTGAAATGAGAAAACCAAGCCTACGGGAGATTTCCTGAGGTTCAGTGTAGAATTCAGACGAAAAAAGCTTGGCTCAGAAGGCCTACATAGTGGCGCTGAACAAGGAAATGAATATTTTTACTCTGTACAGTTTGGGATGCTTACTTTGATCAGTATCGGCTCCTTTTCTAGCGAAAGCAGATGTTTCGTAAATGAGGGTTTTTCCAAATTCACAATTTTACTGGTTTCGTAATGGGATTTGGGACGTGTTCGCTCGCCAGGATGACGTTTAGAATCCTTGCGGGTCACAGTAGGCGCTTCTGTTAGTTTCCTTTCTCTTGGTTCAGTAATATTCACAGTTTTACGTCTAGCAGAGGGCGCCGTATGACGTTGTGCAGTCTTACTATCATCATCTATTTGCTGAGTCATGGATGTGTGAACTTGGCCAAAATACACACCCGGAGAAGTGTTGGCACGTGACTTGAGGTCCTGAGTTAGGTCGGGTCGGCTAGGTATAACGGATCTTGTTGGTGCTGTACCAAATTTGGGCAACGATGTGTGATGCCGCCCTCTCTGATATAATGGTTGGGAGCAAACTGTGGCCAAGGTGATCGACCCGGTTACTGGTCTACGATAAATTGGAGTGCCCTCACGAAACCCAGTGCAAACAGAAATTGCGGACTGATTTAGTTCGTAAGATGCATTTGGCTGGGCTTCTGCAGATTGCAACGAATCACCCGGTGTGTGACTGGTCAATTTTTTCATTAGTGCTCCATCCGATAAAGAGTTGGGGAAGTTATTCTGTCGGGTTATACGTGAAGCAGAAGAATTTGTAGATGGACTCCGACCTCTGCTCAACAGACCGTCTCTAGCTCGACTGGGTGTGTCACAAATCAGTTGTGTACGTCCTTCCAGTGTGGAGGATCTTCTCAGTGGACCGGAACACATGCCTAGTTGGGAGGACGGACGATCGCTAAACACGGTCCTTCGACTGCGTGTCAATCCTGCACTTGCCCCCATGGTTGGATGCAATTTCACTGTCGCATATGAAATGCTCTGTTGGGAAGTTCCACGATGTTGACCAGGTAGCATGGTCTACCTGAACAAACAATGCGAAGATCGCTAATTTGGGGCAAAACTGCTGGCTAGGGTACCAGCGATGGGAACATCATCAGCATCTCACATGTCACGATATTCCAAAAAATAAACAGAAATCCACGTTTTGAACTGATTAAATCCACAGAGTAAAGCATCTGTAAGCCAGTCGGTGTTCCTCCTATGATGTCTACTTTGTACCCCGTTTATGTATCGTGTGTGTAACGTGACAAATGAATGTTAACAGACCGAGTCATTTGATTGGCTGGTTCGGTATGCGGTGCATAGCTAATCAGTGCGGCAAGATTGGCTTGATGATGACACACACACACACACAATGACATTGCGTAACTGATGTTTTGTAAGGATGAGCAGAAGACAGTTAGGTGAACCTTATCTGACGCCGCTTTTCCGAATCAAGAACAAAAGGACTGGGCTTTTGCATGTCAACAGCCCACTTCAGCTGTGGATGGATCTCCGACTGGAAACGACCATCGTCGATGAAGCCTATGTATGAAATTAAAAAAAAAAGCGAATGAGAATGATTTTTTCTTCCCAGCACGCCATCCTAGGGTTACATAAAATGTATGCTTCATACAAAGTGTGGTGTAAATCGCCTCATAAACCAATGGGTCATCCTCAGCACACATGTAAAGTTTGATAAAAAGATATGGCTGTTTTTGAAAACCCCAACCAAAAAGTTGTCCAGTGGGTTTCAAGTGTGTCACGCTACCTGACTGGGAATTCCTGACTGGCGGGTCAATCGATCGTCACAACCAGTACAGTTACTGGGTTGTCGTTCGACTAGTCGCGCACTCCAATCACATCGCTCAAATGTGAACACGTTCGCCTGTTCAGACGTGAAAATTCAGATGCGTCTAACATGCGTTGGTGGAGTAGTGGTTACACGCTCGCCTCGCATGTCAGATGTCCGGGGTTCAAATCTCGGCACGGCCATCGGATATGCACTGCTGATGAGCTCTAATGAGAGCGAAACTGGGGTCCGGTGACTCCCTTTGATGTGGACTCACCGGAATTATTACACCAGAACAGGAGGACGACCGTTCAAGCTGGAGTGGTGTGACTATGAACAAAATACCTATCCTGCAAAACCCCAAAATTGTTTCTGAAAAGTTGAGAGTTTGTGTCCACCAACCGAGCGTCCAGAGACGCAATTCAGGGTAGGATAAAACTCTCCGGAACGAGAATGATTTGACCTTGATGAAGACTGAAAATTGTGACCACAATGATGTCGTGTTAGCCCGTGAAATAATCAGCTGACAGTTTATCATTTCCATCTAACTCTATCTGGTTCTCAGTTTTAGACCTGTCATTGTGGGAAGCCGAGTTGTAGTCAGAGTGAAAAGTGGGTAAAAAGACCGACGAACATCACACATTTTAAAGTTTACGCAAGCCCTAACATCGTTCGATTATCCATTTGCCCGTAAGTGGTTTCGCGATTTGCACATGTACCAACAGGGTGACTGAAGTAAATGGAAAAGCGAAAAAACGAAAGCAGTGTAATCAAGCAGCGATGCATGACGCGTGTCCGTAATTGTTCGCTGCAGAGGGATACGCTGTTTGGAAAACACGGTTTTTAACGGAAGGCAATTTCAAATTTCTGTAAAAATCATGATCTTTGCAATGTATCCCTTAGATAGTAGCACCATCACCAAAAGTTCACGAATATGTTGACCATCCCACAAAACAACGCCAGGCTGTATCGTGCTTTGCGCTAGACACACTGAGTGTTTCGTTCACTTGGGTGTGTAAGCTCGATGTTTCTATGAGCGTGCGTGAAGCAACCTGTTCTTTAGTCAGTCGTTTGTTTTTTAGTCAGTCCGCCTCAAAGCTGGTCTTGAAAGACGTAGGTCACGCCTGAAACCAAACCTTCTGGACGAGGCTCATCACACCATCGTTTAGAGAGCGACTGCCATGGCACTGCTTCGTAAACATTATACTATGACGACCCTACGAGAGACTCAACTCTATTCGCAAACTATCCCACTAAACCGAATTTATTTGAGTACAGCTATTAAGTTATGCCGCCAGCATCAATGAACTCTTGAAATGGACTTGGCTCTGCCGTATATCTAGCTTTCGATAAGTACAAAACGCCATGTCATAGCTGCTGACTAATGGAGCCATACAAACAGTGATTTGTTGGTGGTCCAATATCGGACTCCACATGGTAACCATATCGATAAATTTCTAACAGTCACCGCTGTTTTTCTAGGCAGAAACACGTTTCAGTCCAAAGCCGTTTTGCCCAGTGATTTTCATTCATTCTGAAGAAACATAGGTTCACAGCGACCCAACCGTCGGAGGTTTACAATCACAATATAATTTTACCATGTTGCGCTGGTTTACTGTAACACTATTGAATAGGTGAACCACTTCTTCAGATGGAGTGAAAATTTTCATCCGACGAAACCCAGATACTGATGAGTCTTTTTTCAGGCACTGGGCGCTGGAGCGTGTCAGCGTTCTGAATTAAAATGTCCCCGAAGCGCAACGAGGACCCCGAGATGGTCGAAATACGCTTGACTTGATTCTGACGCGAGACAAATAAAACAGGAGCATCATAAACGGGATCAGTCACTCCGTGGATTGTTGATGAATTCACCAAAACCTTCGAATCAGTTAGCAAAGATGCTTCCACCCAGGCCTAATAGTCCAGCCGAAAACGCCGACTACCCTGACGGCGTTCGAAAACGATGTAGAGACCTTTTTTCCACAGTCCTATTCAAGCTCTACTTAACCACCTGCGCAGTATCTCTCCTCTTTTGAAAAGGTATGATACCAATTCAATATTGGTTGGATGGTTTGTATACAGTTCGAAGCGTTTCCTGACCAAAACACTGCTGCGCGAATCGATCGTCCGTATGCTGCTTTTACCCATGATTATACCTTGCTTTCGCGTTGTGAGGCGGCATTTCAGCGGCTTTTGGAGTGTTTAGTTTAACATCTTTTCGTGGCACTACAAAACACAGGACAGTTTCTCTCCTGTCCAGTTCCTTTCCCTTTGATTAAGGGCAGTATCGTGACATCCTTGTCGTCCTGTATGATGCCTATCAGGAAGGTCTGATTCCTGAAATCAACTTCTGAACGCCCGGAACCTACTGCTCCACCAAAAGCTCAACTGGAAAGCCGGCAAGCATCCAGGCCAGTCAATCATTCAATCAATTCAGCAAAACCTGATGAGTGTTCTCTGCGCCACAGAAGCACGACCGAATGTGATCAGCATTCAGGCTTTTCACAGAGGCACGATCGATGTTGATGGGTGATCACTAACGCCTATCAGACAGCCTGGATCAATGTCAGAAAGTCCCCTTTAAATAGCGTGGGGCCGTTGTAACTTTTGCGCTCTCACACACTCTCTTGCTCGGAATACAGCTGTTGTGTTCCCTGGTTCGGTTGGAGGGAGAGAAATGGGTCGTTTATCTTCAGTTTTCGTGAGCTTGTGAAGCTTCAACAGTAGGTTTTGGGGCAACTAAGTTAAGTTTTCATCAAGGCACTCTTTACAATGGTTATGTTAGGCATACGGCTCGATTTACTCCTTAGGTCTCATGTATCATTCGTTTTCAGCTCGCGCATGAGTTCAGTGAGGTTGCTGTTCGAAAGTTTTAGACAGAGAACCTTGATGGGTTCCACAGCACTCTTCCGCTCAGCCATGTATGAAGTCACATTGCCGTTTCCTTCAACTCAATACTTTCGAGCTGATTTCCTCACCCAGATTGTCTCCAGTACAACTACAGTCGATTGTCGTCCAGTGACTCCCACTGAGTCTCTTGGACAACATTTGCCGAGTTTCAGTTGTTTGGCATCCAGCCTATGATGTGGTCGCCTCTAGATGATGCGCACCTTCGCTTGTGCCAAAGGATGGTCCGTGTCGAATTCACTACCATGCACCGCTTTGCTAAGAAGAATATCCCTGAAGTCTCTTGAAGGGCAACGACCCAGTGGAATCTTGAATGACCTGTCCTCGCAATGGTACTTGCATGTCTGCAGCTGCCGACTATCATTTTCCAGATCAGAAACACACCATTCGCACTAGGAAATCGAAGACATTATTTTATTGACGGTTCCGTTTTGCTTGCGCAGTGTTGACATTGCCATTGTTTGAGCCTAGACATTATCATTCATCATCTGTGTCGGACCTATTCCGTGTTCACACCGGTTCATGTCGTGCTCCCCACCTCACGAACCTAGTCACTTGACTGCCTGATGTCGTGACCTTGACTGTCTGGTGTTTCTTAGCATCCTAGTCTGTATGTATGTATGTAGTCTGTATGTAACAAGCGACCGTTGATTCCCGTTCCGGCTCCAGCGTCTTCTTCCCCATATCCCTTGTGTGCGCAGATAGGTCTGTTTTATTGCCGCTGCTATTACGAGTGCAGAACATCTGACCACATATCGTTGGCTGTTAAATCTTGAGCATTAAGGTTTATCCGCTATTTTATTAGTGAACATTCAAAAAAAGTGGAAACACTTCGCTTCCACCCGCAATACGAACTACCACTGTCTTGACTTTCTGGATAAATCGAAATTTCCAAGAATTGAGCGATGTCCTTAGGAGAAATGCACTATACTTGTTTTTAGAGGGAGGGGTGAAGTCATTAAGATTGCCCTTTTGTCCCCGTTTTATGTACTACCTATGCGCAGAGACGTATGGAGCTACCAAGTACAGTCATAAACTGCACTTCCTATTGATTACTTCCTACTCACTTAGGTGTTTCCGTTAGCTGGCCACACATTTCGGTGGCTTTGCGTACAGTTGCCTCCCTTTAAAGGAACCGTCTGTGAGTTAGTCTCCTCCGGAATGGAATTTGCTATTCAAATGCATGTCCATGGTGCAACCAAAGCAGTCTGTCCTGACAAGTGGTTTCCATCCATCACAGTTGACTGTTCCATCGTAACCGTCGGCTTAGCGTACCCGATTCTTCACCTTTAATCGCAACTGGGTGACTGCTCCTATGGTTCCTAATTCACTTGTGACTTGCACCGCGATGTTATTTTTAAGCATATTGCTTCATGTAGCTTCCAGGAGACATGACATATTCAGCAAACCTGAATCTAACGAGTGCTCTAGTTGTCACTGATGGTCCTTCTCGCTAGACACAGAATACTTTCTGTGATCTTGTAACTTCCATGGGTTTAATCATGTATGACACACGGTTGGGCCCGACTTAACGGTTTCCGTTAAAGGTTTTTTATCCAGAGTGGACGAGTTCGCCAATCTGTTTAGGGACACGCAGTTAGTGCTGAGTTCTTCCCAACATTAACCATCACACTTCAGACATCCGTAACGATGTTTGCCTGTAGCCATCACGGTCATTTCTTAGTCATGACAGGAAGCATGTACCTATTAGCAAGGGACTTATTGGAATCTATTGAGGTCAACGGTTGCAAGTTTTTCCGTACGAATGTTCTTCATCAGTTCACCTAAAGGTGTGTGGTGAAGTATGCGTCAAAATATGTATAAGTTGATGGAACCACTCGATGATTATGTCAATCCATAGGTGAGCGTCTTTTATCTTCTGTATGATTGTCTCCAAAAAGAACAATCGGAACCGGGGACGCGGTAGCGGTAGAGTTATTTCTGTCATTAACCCACTGTGCACGTGGAACACTTGAGTCTCGAACACAACAGTCTACCTTATCAACCCAAATCGGTTGACTTGCTCTGTTCCAGACGGACACAACTTCAGAATCAGGAGGTTCTCAAAGTGTCACTTACCTACTAACCGATGACAGTGAACATACAGATGATTCCAATCTGTATTTCTCGCCCGATCGCGGAAATGTGGTGTTTGCTTCGGCCTCGGACACTTGGGGCTTCCGGCCTTCAGACTTTGTGGAAACTTGGTCAAAGCGTTTGGACGTCTCGGTCGAAAGACTTTTTGAAGTGATTTGGGGCGACTTCTACATCAGCCGCGGAGGTGGAGGTGATGGGGGCAAATGTTTTTTCAAACCTGGTGCGCACAAAAACAGGAAGAAACCGGTGTTCGTACAGTTAGTACTGGAACCACTGTGGCAAACATATCAGGTACGTCGATAGTGTTGACCGCTGTTTTGAGTGGAATCCTCAAGTTGATTTGTTTTTCTGATTTAACGCCACAGGTCATGTCGAACGCCACAATACCGCGCATTAACAGTTTTTTATGGTTTGATAATATGTGAACCAGCTAAGAATGGGTTATGGATTCAGTTGAGTATAGTCATAGAGCCGCATAACACTAAAAGTTCAGAGACCTTTGTTTGACCGAGACGCTTGTTTCATTCACTGGCGACCTTGTAAGTAGATTTCGAATTCCCCGTTTTGAGCCGTCTTCAATTATCCTTATCAGTCCTATAAGCTATCCGTTACCTGCCAATTAATCAAACTGCTACAGGTGGAACCATTTTTACTTGCAACGGTTTGTGGCTTTTGTTGTCGCTGATGATGATGGTGATACCGAGGTATTTGTGTCGAAAGTCAAACACTGTCCAGCTGACAGTCTACCAAACTATTCTGAGTCCCTAATCGGTTCCAACCACTTTCCAATCGATTGAAAAGTTAGAAGGCCATCCACGTTTTCATCCCGAGAAGTGGCACTTGCCAACCTGCATAGGCTCCGCGCGGTTCGCCACTAAGCTTCTGGGTTTTATTGAGAAAACTACACACCAGTAGCATGCTTTCAGCATGAACACCAGCCACTAACAATGTATTTTTCATCGTTCGTCGTGATATACTATTTTATGCTCTGTATTAGGGATTCAGATAGTAAGCTGTCTCTTCTCACGTTTCCCGCTTAAGTACAGTAGACAGCTTACTGCCACCTTTCCATCTCTTGGAGCCTCCCTCAAGGGTTTGACATAGATGGAGATCGAAAGAAAGTATCATTTCAGCTTGTTATATCCGTCCTTCGTTGGATATCAGAATTCTAAGTAATTACTGTCCTGGCAAGAGTCCGCTGAAAATGTTCTGGGTTCCAGTTCACTTCCACCAACTCGTATTCCGCGCCAATTCTTACCATGCTTGCAGGAAAACTATTAGCCGTCCTTTTAAGCAGTCTCACGTGTCTAATTTGTTTGCTTCAGAAACTAGTTATTGACGATTGTCCCAAAGATGTGTCTGCTATGGCCAGTAAGCTTGGCGTACAGTTGGATGCACGTGCTATCCGGAATACTGACTCTCGAGGTGTCCTCCGTGCTCTCCTAATGGCCTGGCTTCCGCTGGGGCACAACCTGCTCCAAACCGTTACCGAGGTTTGCCCCAGCCCACTGAATGCCGTATCAGCGGACCGGGCAGTACACATGCTGTACGGAGATGTTGCTCTACACGGTTCCGTACAACCTACCGGTTCAGTTTCCAAGACTAGCAAGACGGGAACTTGTCCTGTTCAAGTGTATCAGACTTCACGACTGACGTTGGATTCGACGTATGCCACATCCGGCGCCAGTCTCGGTAGGTTTCTTTGTTTCGTATGGCTTCATAGGACGTTCAACGTGAGTTTGTGTTATCTGAAGGTTACAAACATAGTGTTAAGTAATCTCAGCTCCTTCTGTTGTTAATTAAGTTTGACACTCTTTTGTCTCATTGCACTGCTTCGTAATAGATGCAAACCCACTCCAGAGCTGATCTATACACGAAGCTCTGTGTTCTCACGCTTGTGGTTGAGGTTTTTACACTAAAGTGGAAGAAGTTACGAAACACAACTGAAGGTAGGATATGAAGAAAACGTCAAACTTCGGTTAAACAGATGAATTCTGATTTTCTGTAACTGCTCAGAGGGACGACCTGGAAAGTTCGACATTCTAAATGACAGCTATCAAAACTCGCTCCAATATATACGGCAACTGCAGTCGGTGGAAGCAGTGAGTAAACGTCAGCCTGGCTAAAATCGGTAGTCACTGGTAAGACTGGTGCGAGTTTGGCAAGTCACGTTGCGCCGATTGATGGCTATCCGGTCTCACGACACTCAATGCATGCGTGGCTTTCCGTTCTTCCCTGTAAAGTAGTGTTATATGGGAACAAGATGATTTAATTTTTCTCCTTCATGTCGTCCAGCAAACTCAAACGGGATTTATGTGATTAAACTGAGTCGAAATGTGTGTCAGCACATCATCATTGTCAGCTGTAGTAACCACGTAGTTGTCGTACAGTGGTTTAAGCTGCCACAGTTTCGTTCATTGATGATTCGGGGAGGTGGGGTAGGTAATTGCGCATTTGAGGCGGGAGCTGATAAATTAGTGCATAAATACAGCACTGTATGTGAACTGTTAAGTGGGGGGATTGGGAAGGGAGCTATGCATTGAAGGCAATGGCTTGGATGCATTAGTGCAAGCACATCGGCATCTACGAACTGCGCATTAATAACGTGTTGGTATTGTGCTATTCTGAAACCGTCGAAAGTGAAAACTCTTATTCCAGCACCTAACACTATCGTGTCTTGTCAACCAGTCTGCGTGCGGACCCCGTCAGCGACTGTGAGCTTAGATTTCATTAACCAGCTTCCGCTCCGGATATTTGTTTCACGTATGTTTAATATAGCGTAACAAACATTGTCAAGCTCCTACCCTTCCCAGATGAACCAATCCTTGCAGTTTTCCTACAACTGACAAGCTTAAAATTCAACCACCAGATTCCGCTCCGGATACAAATTCAGTCGACTCGATTGCCGACAGCATCACGGAGTTCCATTATGACCCTGATGCGGGCCTAACCTTCGATTCGTGGTTCAGACGCTACGAAGATGTTTTCAGAGTCAAACTGAAGCTCAAACGTGATACCCGAATAGTACGCTTATTGCTCAGAAAGTTTGGCACAACGGAACACACACGGTATTCCAACTTTATCCTGCATAAGAACACGCGAGACCTCAGTTTTGACAAAACCGTGCCGCAGCTGTCGGTGTCGAAGAAAGTTTGGAACATTTCGAAAGAGACTTATCGGGATATTGCGTGTAGCAGCGTGTAGCAGCGGAAGACAGACCTCCGAACCGATCGGATAGCCGGACAATTTTGGTCTTTTGATACTGAAAATGTGTGAAAGTTGGTCGCAGTAAAGATCGTAAGACCGGTGATCTTTCCTCACCCTGCATCCTGTCCGCAAGCGGCACAAGAAACATATTTTCAGCAGTTAACAGTTGAAGCCAACCCTGATTTTATGCTTATACCTGAAAAAATGTGAGAAAACCTAAAATCAGATGAGGAAGTCAATGGGAACTAAGCAAGGTGGTTATTCTGACTGCTTGTAGGGAACGTCTGTCTACCCGTGTGCAGCGAGTTGTTGAATACATACAGTCACTCTCCCAATCATCGGGAAAACGTCCGCACCATCATCCTCATCATTGACGGCAACATCGGGCAAGAACACCGTTGCTTCACAGCAATATGACCATGTCAGTTTATTTGAATAAAGTTGTGTAATGGAAGAACAAAAAATGAGATGGGGCGGGAATCTAGGTTTAGTTGGTTACACCCCCGAAACTCAGTCAGACCATTTGGATAGAAATTGACAGCATGAATACGACTGACGTCAGTCGGCCGCCATCTCTTTCAGGATCTACATCAAAGCACGGAGAGGGTAGTGTGGACATCATCCTGGAAGGCAGACAATGGTAACAGCACCCGAAATCGTTGTAGCCTCCTTGATTCCATCCTACGTTATATATTATCTCTGCCTCAAGGCATTTGTCACTGCAAATTAAGCACGGGAAACAACACTCCGCCCGACATGGTTGATACACGGTTCAGCTTACTCAGCTTGCAGTGATGGATGAATTTTTTGCGTAAAGTACTGTCTGATTAATCAGAATCCCGCTTCTTGATCACCTCGTATTCAATTCGCTGAGTTCAGCTATGGTTCTGAGACATTAGCAGTCAAGGGCCCGAGGATGTCTTAAATCCTCTGACCTAAGTAGCCAGGATAGCACCTTGGTTAAAAATGAAGCGGAGATGATCGCAGCTGTCGGTGTCGAAGAAAGTTTGGAACATTTCGAAAGAGACTTATCGGGATATTGCGTGTAGCAGCGTGTAGCAGCGGAAGACAGACCTCCGAACCGATCGGATAGCCGGACAATTTTGGTCTTTTGATACTGAAAATGTGTGAAAGTTGGTCGCAGTAAAGATCGTAAGACCGGTGATCTTTCCTCACCCTGCATCCTGTCCGCAAGCGGCACAAGAAACATATTTTCAGCAGTTAACAGTTGAAGCCAACCCTGATTTTATGCTTATACCTGAAAAAATGTGAGAAAACCTAAAATCAGATGAGGAAGTCAATGGGAACTAAGCAAGGTGGTTATTCTGACTGCTTGTAGGGAACGTCTGTCTACCCGTGTGCAGCGAGTTGTTGAATACATACAGTCACTCTCCCAATCATCGGGAAAACGTCCGCACCATCATCCTCATCATTGACGGCAACATCGGGCAAGAACACCGTTGCTTCACAGCAATATGACCATGTCAGTTTATTTGAATAAAGTTGTGTAATGGAAGAACAAAAAATGAGATGGGGCGGGAATCTAGGTTTAGTTGGTTACACCCCCGAAACTCAGTCAGACCATTTGGATAGAAATTGACAGCATGAATACGACTGACGTCAGTCGGCCGCCATCTCTTTCAGGATCTACATCAAAGCACGGAGAGGGTAGTGTGGACATCATCCTGGAAGGCAGACAATGGTAACAGCACCCGAAATCGTTGTAGCCTCCTTGATTCCATCCTACGTTATATATTATCTCTGCCTCAAGGCATTTGTCACTGCAAATTAAGCACGGGAAACAACACTCCGCCCGACATGGTTGATACACGGTTCAGCTTACTCAGCTTGCAGTGATGGATGAATTTTTTGCGTAAAGTACTGTCTGATTAATCAGAATCCCGCTTCTTGATCACCTCGTATTCAATTCGCTGAGTTCAGCTATGGTTCTGAGACATTAGCAGTCAAGGGCCCGAGGATGTCTTAAATCCTCTGACCTAAGTAGCCAGGATAGCACCTTGGTTAAAAATGAAGCGGAGATGATAGCAGGACTGTCCTTCTAGTTGAGTTGATAGAACAATAGAGACAGAGAGTAAAATTCCAAATCACATCGTTGCGCAACCAATTCGTGCTGTTCTTGCATTGAAAACGAGTAAGTTCCCATATTTCAACTTGCTTTCTAGGAGTCCACGTCATGTAGTTGAACTTACGGGTTCCTGAATTCTACTGCTGTATTTCAAAATGCATATTGTTATTTCCGTTGGCCTATGTGGCTGACAGCGTGTAGATAGTCTTCGTGTAGAAGTAAAAAAGTGACTATCTTGTGATTTCCGTTTAATCCTGCATGTCGAAGCAGATTTCACGGATTTATTAGTTCTGTTTGCTGAAGTGGCCGCAAAAGCTTCCTCATCAATCAAGGTGACAGCATCGAAGCGTTGTCACGGGGCAGAGTGGAGCGTAGCGGTGTACCAGCGAGTATACATTGAGCACGCGTGTTATTATACGTGCTATCGGACGGGGCTGACCTTCGATCACGATTGATTGCCCGGTGGAGTGGTTCCATTGATTGGTCTTTTGTAATCAGCCCTGAGAATTCGGCAACCACTGCTGCGTGCTCGAGTGACCTATGTTCTTGACCTCTCTTGCTTTCACTTCGTCATCTATGTTGATTTGATTTATTAGTGACAAATCTTCAGTAGTGAAACTCGAGTCTCATGAATGATGTTTGACTGCACCAACTGACTATAACCGCGAAATAGTGATGAGCAGGTTGGATTTGTTTAGAATGGCGAAGCACGCGTGCAGCGACCTTAAAAGTGCCTTGCGCTACAGTGGGTCAGACAGAGCAGCTGAATCCCGGGTTAGGGTTTGTTCTAACGCTACCTGAGTTGCAAAAATGTCGTCCCGTCCACTCTTGCGCCGTGAATGACACTCATCTTTGGAATTAGATTTGTGCAAATACATCTTTTTGGATCGTCCACAACCCGATCGCTGTGCCGAGTGCTGACAGGAAACTCAACTTACGCGACAAATCCAAATCACATGTTGCTGTCACGTGCACGCACAGATGTGTTTAATCACACAACTGCGCTGATGTAACAGGAGCCGGCTGCGACATCGTGCAGCCAGTGCACACCGAAAGACAACCACTTGACTTCGCCGCCATTTTCAGGATGAAGGCGATTCAATGTCATATGATGTGCCAACCGACAGTTGCTGCTACTGCAAAGCCCTTGAACACTTGGTGGGAAAAAGTAGCACGCAGTTGAAGGTTACATTGAGAGCTTGTAGCTACCCTTTCGCCACACATGACTGTACAGGTCACCGACACTCGCTGGATTACGAGATCCGTCTTTTTTTCTTACACTTACAAATCACGCCACAGAATCGTGACTCACTTGACTACACAGCTCACAGTCAAGCCCTTGATCCCGAGACTCGTCTTCCTTTCCCTACACGTACAAATCATGACACATAAGAGTGACTCATCTGACATCGACTGTCTACCGTCCGATGAGGTAGCAACAAGTCATGTTCTGACACCCACACACA